GATGGCAAATGTAATTAAAAACCGAACCCCATACCGCTGTATGAAGATTTTAGATGCAGGTAGTCTTACTGTCGTCCAATCGTGTTGGCAAAACCTTGCCGTTTAAGTCGCCTTAAAGGTCGGGCAGGGAGTAGTCCTCTTGCGAGCAGGGAACGGTGTCTCAGCAATCTTTCGCTGTATCTGCTTGTGTGCCTTCCAATCTGTTCCTCGACTGTATGCAGTTTGAGGTCTTTATGGAGCGTGGAGCCGCGTACGTACCAGGGACAGTTCGTTATCTGACGTAGTACCCGATTCTGCAATACCTGTATACGTTTATAATTGGATTTGGCTGCGATCCCCCAAATCTGCACTCCATAAAGCCATATTGGCAAAATACAGTGCACGTATACAGCTCTTTTGCATCTAAGCGGCAAGGTGCTTCTTTTATTGTTGAGCCACCACAGTTGTTGCAATCTGTGACGACATTTTTTTACCGTAGCTTTGAGGTGTGGTCCAAAGGTAAGGCGCTTGTCCAAGGTGATGCCGAGATACTTGGCTTGTGACGGCTGCTCCAGGGTAACTCCCTCTAGCTGGATTGGAGGGGTATGCATCAGCCTTTTGAGAGTGAAACATGGGTTTATTGTGTTGAGCGGGTTAACCTTCAAATTCCATCGTTTGCACAAAGCTGCGAGATTATCAAGATATCCCTGTAGTCCACTACTTGCTTCTTCAATATTTTAATGAAGAAATATTCAAATAATCTATACTATTAAAATTGTACGCCAAAAATCAAAGTGTAGGCGACTGTACAAAATACAGCAAAAAAGTTATTATTTAGGGTTTCTAAAATAATTTATAATCGCAAAATCGCGCCCGACTAGGACGATCGTTTGACTATGATGCTTGATTCGTACTACAAAACTTCCATTTTCTAAGATATTAAAATTTTACAAAAATGGCACACAAATTTAATAAATATCTCAAAAATGGGGTTTGTTCAGGAATCAGAAACTATTGTAGGCTAGATTTTACCCTGACGATTTCAAAAAGCCCAAGATTTCCACGATCGGACTTAGCTTAGACAAGATGTAGTCATATAAAGTTATGTTTATGTATTTTATTCTAAAATATTTTTTATTTTTAGATCGAAGAAATCAGCAATTTTTGTATGCAATATGATTCTATTGGAAAAGCACATCCTGCCAAGATCGAGCATAGCTGTTAAAAAAATGTATTCGCAATAAATAACAAAGTTTCGTTAATATTTTATTTTCAGCCCAATTCCTGGATGGTTCCTAGATGACCCATATATCCTTGATTATCCCATATCATAGATATAGCCCTAGGGAACCTAAATAGCCAAATACTTGCAAAATGCGCAACAATTCAGCTGATAAATATGTATGCCTTTTCTTTTAGCAGCCCCCTAGCAGCAACCACGCCCTCTCGATGGTTTTTAGTTGCCCCTCATATCCTTGCTTATACAATACCATAAATATAGGCCGAGTTAACCTAAAGAACCAGATTCTTGCAAAATACGCACTGAAAATGGTCCACAAATTTGTATGATTTTTCTTTTAGCAGACCCATTTAACGGCCCTCAATTTAAACTGCATAACACTAGTCTTAACAGCGCCCCTTTAACATATGCTTCAGCTGTTGTTTAACAGCCGCTTAATTAACAGTCATGTTAGTCAACAGCAGCCTTACATTTTTGCCCTTGCGCGTATGCAATGAAAATTTTCATACGCAAAAAATTTTTGTCTACCTGCTGCGGATTTCTGTTCGCCTGGTACTTCAGCCAAATTTTCGTTCAGCCAACGGCCGCCAACTGACGCCCCGTGCGGGTATGCAACGAAAATGTTTAATTCGTAGATTTAAGTCGACCTACTTACTACTAGTTTCTGTTCGCCTGGTATTTCTGCTAAATTATTAATTGTGCAGTAGAAATTGTTGAATATTATTATTATATCGAAAAAGCCTAAAAAAGCAACAAAATGGATTTCGATCTTTAAGCTCACCAGGGCAATATCAATGCTACGGTAAGACCAAGAATATTGGCGACAGCTGGGAACTAAAGTGGGAAAAAGGGCATAAATACATATTTGTGGACCATTTTCAAGCGAATTTTGCAAGAATCTGATCCATTAGGTTCACCAGGACTATATCGTTCGTCGGCAAGAGCCATTTCGCGGACGTAAATAGAATCTGACATAGCTTGGAATGATTAGTTTTAAATAATTTTAAATGGCCATAACTCAAGTATTTAAAGTCCGATCGCGCCAAGATCGGGCGTTTTGTAATCGTGGAGGTCCTTAGAATCGACTGGCATCAAATGTTTTCCATTCCAGGACGTAGATTGTCTATTTGGTAGCCCTGCCTGGGGCGCACTTGAGCTCAAAATTGTAAGTGGCCTTCGCGACGCAGACAACAGCAACAGAAACAACAAATAGAACAAGAAAAAACGTTTATTGAAGTAACTTTATTTTTTGTATGTTTTCGTTGGGGTCGCAGCTGCCGCTCCGCGCTGTTCGTGCCTCAAGAGGCCCTTAAAGCTGAAATAAAATTAAGAGACGCTGAGTAGTCGCTATTTTGGACTTTGCTCATTTTTTATGGCTTTGGCTGGCACTTTGTTGGGATTTACCTTGCGCTTTTTTGTGGCCAGCCAAAACTTGCTCACAAATTTGCGGAGCATTAGGGAGCATTAATTTTTCAAGTGCCTTCAAATAATTATCATAATTATCGTTTAACTAATAATGATCCTCTGCAGCAGCAGCAGCAGCAGCAGCAACAGCAGCAGCAGCTGTAAACGGAGTTAACTTTCCACAACGTCATTTTTTATTTGGTGTTAGCTGCTGCAGTCGACTGCGGGGCGTTTGCGTAATCTGTGGGAGGTGCAATTGAAAATGTATCAAGGTAAGTTGAAAAGTAAGACGATTAAAGTGTCGTAATAGATTAAATATAACCATTTATCTCTTCCCGTTGTTCCAAGTGAAGCTGCTGCTGGGAAAAGTTCCTTTTTCAATTTGCACAGTGTTGTAAAGTTCCGAATGGCGAGCTATCATAGTTTAGCTAGTTTTAGTATTTTATGCATTATTGGGACGCCTAAATCTGGTCACATTTGCTGCGCTGCTAAAATAAAGCCAAGATCAAATGTCGTTAATTGCAAAAGCTGAAAACGAGAACACTTTAAATTAATATGCATTTGTAAATAAATTGAGGAATTAAGCCACAAACTATTTATTGTTAATAGCACAGTGGAACAACTTTGCCATTATATAAGCTCAATCGTATATTGCCAATTATTTGTATTTATTTCTCCATTCAGTTCTGTGGGCTAAACAAAGCGTTGACATTCTCGATTGTTGTTTAATTGAGCGGAATTCTAAATGGCTGACGACAATGGAAAATATTTGATTGGCTGGGCGTGGGGAGTGGGGCGTGGCCAGTGGGGGCTGCCATTAGCAGCACTCGACGCTCGACAATACGATTTGAGTGCAGTTTTATATTCGTCGGAAAATACAGAATACAGACATTTAAATATATACATAAATACATTCGTGTATGAATAAAAGATGTGAGTGATTGTTCGATTGAATGCACATTTAATAGAAATCAGAAAGGCTCTTCAAGCACACACGAGTTTACATTTAGTTAAGCATTTAACATTATCGCTAATATATGTTTTACATATTTCCATATTAATATTTATGTTCCAGTGTCTTTGACTTGGTTGCACTTAAGACTAACAACTATTCATTTATGTGTACTCGTAGTATTATTATCTATACATTCTGTAAACAACATCAACGCACAGAGATATGTCATTTGGGATCTTAACTAGGCTGGGATTTCGTTTGCTTTTGGATTTTAATACTTGTGAATAGCGTTTCGTATGAGCTTTTTCTGGTTTTTAAATTCGATTACTTTGATTACTTTATTATTTTGTTTTTTTTCATTTTGTTGGGGAAACCTAAAGTTTGGGTTCTACTAGCACTCCGAGTACTGTGATAGTTGGTTTCCATCGTTCATTGGCTAAACTAATTTTAATCTAATCAGATCATAGCTGGCTGGGTTATATATATATATATGTATGTCTAGGAAATGTGCCCCATGGGATTTATTGTGTATGGTATATGTACAACAAGTGTTGACTAACAGTTTTCTATAGCTAACATTTACAGTGCCTACTGCACATCTACGTACTGTTAAACTAATTCCTCTAATTATACTCAAATACAGTGCTGAGCGGAAATACATCTGTGTGAATGCATTTAGCTTAGCATAGCTATTGGTAAAAGCGTTTTGTGACAATGCTTCCCCCTTTTTGTCTTAAACTATTTGATACGTAAACTAAGCACAGTTGCTATTTATTTAGTATTCTATGTACACAATAATTAAATTCTGCAGAGAACTAAATTCAATTTAATTTGTTGACATTTGCTGTCGACAAATATGAAGTTTAAATTCGTTTCGTTTTATTTATTTTTTCTTCTTTTACTTAGCTTAATGTCAATTGTATTTGAATTATCTATTTAGTTTTTCCCAACGAAACATGGATTTCCATCTAACTCTTCTGGTATAATTGAAGAAATACGATCCAAAGAAGAAATAAAAGTATATAAAATCATGAAATATTTAAAGACTCAGTGAGTGGATATTTCACAAAGTACAAGTTTTTCTTTGACTAAGCGCGCAGCATATGTTGGCCAATATGGCGGGCGGCGAGCGGAAACGGAAGTTGCTGCCAGTTGAAGCTGGTTTCTCTTGTGGCTCGCCCCGATTGCCTCGATTGCCCCGCGGCCAGGCTATTAAAGTTCAATGAAGTTTCAACGCCGTGTGACACTTGGAAGCAGCCTATCAACGACCCCTCCGGCTAGCCGACGGAGCGTCAATGAAGTGAACAAAAGTATATATCCGCCGGCCATCAAATGGCCATAAATTTTCAAATGTCGCGTTGTCTATTGAGAATTTGTCAGAAACCCCTGCATCCCCCCACCCCCAACCCACCCCTCGTCCTTCGCCCACTCAGAGAAAAAAGCACTAAAAATGTTTCAGGCTCTTAGGAGTAGGTGCTACTAATGGCACCATTACCTGCTCCTGCTCCTGCTCCTGCTGCTGCAAACCTGGCCCTGTGCGTATTTGTCGCTTACTTTGTAGCCACATCACAAAATTACGCTTTAAACTTGGCCCTCAGTGAAACTTTTTGAGCCAAATAGCTTTCATTATGGCTCTGCTTATTGTTGTTGCTTTCGGTGTTGGTGTTGCAAGCAGCTGTTTCTGCCCCCAAGCGCCGCCCCCTGAGGCGCGCCGGGCGCCTTTTACGTGACCAGCTGAAAAAATTTTTCATTTTGCCACAGAAATAAAACCAAATGAATCAACTTTTCAAATAAAAATAGCAATCTGTTCAATAGCAGCAACAACAACAGCCACAACAACAACAAGGGCAAACATTTTCATAGACTTTGCGTACGTGTTGAATTTGGCATGTTTCTCGCATTTGCGGCCCGAAAATTGGCATAAATTAAACGCATAATTGCGAAAATAGCCAAATAAACAAATAAACGAAAGCTCAGCTTTCATTGATTGCAATTTGTTTAATCGAATTGATGGCAACAACAACGGCAACTGGCGTAAACATCAACTAAATTTTCACAGGTATTTTTACAGGTATTTGCCAAGTTTCATTGACTGGGAAATGTTTAGTTTTATGCATACGTTCAGCCATAAGCACCAGTCTCACCGATTTTGAATATTCCATTGCCAAGGTCGGAAAATGTTTCTATATCTTAGTTCCATTGAAATGCACGTCCTTATAAGCAGCCCGGTAATTTCCCAGACCTCGGCAGAATTCAAAGAATTTTTTTTGCTCTTCAAAAATTCTGTTTGAATCCCATTATGGAATTCCAGGGAACGGGTGCAGGCGCGGGCGCGGGCGCGTAGGTGCTGCTTGAGCCATGGCTTGGGTTATACCCAGACGAACCTAATACACCTTGAGAACCACAATTAGAGAGCGATATGTTAGGTTCTGTGGCCTGTGGCGCATAAGCCAAGCTGGCCGGGCTGTGCACGCGTCCGAGTGGGTGGGCGGGCGTTTGACAAACAGTTGTCTGGTGTCGGTTTGCCTGGCAAATGTGCTCAATGCCAATGCAAATTGAATTCCAAATTAATTAGAGACCCAAGCCACACCCACACGGACACCTGGGCCAGATTGGTTTAATTTTGAGCTGGCGCCTTTAAAGGTTCGCCGTTGAGCCGCTGTTGGAATGCGTCCTGTGTAGAGCAGACACGGGCCGCTGTGTGAGTGTCCTGGCCTCGGCAAAGTCCACGCTGGCGCACTTGATGGGCGGCGGCTTGAGAGGATTGGCATTCGTCTTGAGCTTGCCGGGCTTGACGGGCGTCTGCTATCTGCTGGGCCGCCAGGCGCTGTTGCTGGAATAGCGGCAGAGCAGCACCTTCTTGAAGGCCTGCCTGAATACCTTATTGAATATGGTATAGAATATGGGATTCACCATGGAGCTGGCATAGCCCAGCCAGGTGACCACGTCGAATACCCAATGGCTGATGCGCTCCTCGCACTCTGCGCACACCGTCGGCAACAGATTGAGCACAAAGAACGGCGACCAGAGTATGACAAAGGTGAAGAAGACCACGCCCAGCACCTTGGTGGCCTTCTGCTCCAGCCGTATTATGCGTCCGTGTCGCGACGAGTTCCTCGAGATGACGCTGGAGTTGCGCGAATGATGCGAACGCACCGTTTGCTGTCGCTGCAGCAGGCAGGGCGACGATTGGGGCGTTCGCGACTTGCCGCCCTCCCCGCCGCCGCCCTGATAGTTCATGTTCTGGTGGCTGCGCAGCGTCGCCGAGCGGCGCAGCGGCGTCATTGTCGTCGTCGTCGTCGTACTGGCCATCGTCTTGGTGGGCGTCAGCAGCAACGAGGTGCGCACGCCGCCAAAGCTGCTGCCGCGCCGGCGATGCCGACTCGCATCCCAGGTGACAACCGAGGCGGTCTTCGAGATGCTCAGCTTGCGTCGTCCGGGACAGGGTGTGCCCGGTGCGGCCAGGTAGCCGCTGCCATCGCTCTGGGAGCTGCCCTGCGGCTGATGCGCCGAGCGCGGCGACAACGTGTTGCCCGATGCACTTCCTGCTGCAACTGCAGCTGTTGACCCCGCACCGCCTGCGCCCGCACTGACGCTGCTGGTGAGGGCGCTCTTGTTGTTGTTGCTGGCGCTGCAGAGGAGTAGCTCCATTTCGCTGGGCGAGCTACTCACTGCCGTGGTCGTCGCTGTGGTGGTCACCTTGAAGGCCGAGGATATGATCTTCACCTCGGCCGTCTTCACGCAGCTCGGCAGCGGACGATCGCCAAAGTAGGGGCAGGTGCACACCGGGGGCAGCTGGGGGTAATCCGTTGCATGACTGGAACTGCTTGCCACATGGCACAGCTTGCCCGGCTGCGGCTGCGGTTCTAGCTCCGTGTCCGAGTGGCAGCCCTTGCTAATGGACGATGATTTCGAGGGTTTCTCCTCGTCCTCCTCCTCCTCGTCATCGTCGTCGTCGTCGGCCTCCACCTGATTGTTATCGCCGTCCAGGCTCTCGTGCAGCGTCTTGTGGTGCGGGTAAAGCGCATTTTTGGGCAAGCTATTGTAACGTTTGCGTCGTCGCAGCGTATCCTGATCCTCATCCTCGGCATCCTCGCTGCCAGCGCGGCGTTCACGCCCAGAAGCAGCGGAAGAGGCGCGTCTGCGCTTCTTGTAGGCGCGCAGCCTTTGCGACAGCTGGGAGAGCGTTCTGCCAGAAAGAGAAGATGGAGATAAAACGAAGACATTTAAGTATTGGCATTTAATTGAGGGTTAATCAATTCTTTCAACTTAGCAGAAACTGAAAAGCAATTGTTGAATAAGAACTGTAAAAACCTCCTTAACCAAGCAAATAATATGCGATTCTTGTTTGTAAGTTTCATCATTCAATAATATTCAAAATCTTGCGTCGACAAAATTTGTCTGTAGTGGGAGCTTTCAAATATATTGTATATACTATATTGCCAGTTTCACACGTCTCTTTGGCGGAATTTATTTCTTTTTTTTTAATTAAAATTGCCCAGTCAATTGGCAAACAGACTGCCTGAAAGCGTGCTGCCTGTCCGCAAACACACACACACACACACGCACGCACGCACACACACACACGCGCGTGCACAACCGCACGCTTTGTGGTCAGCTGGCTTTGTGTGCGCAGAAAAGTAGGCAACACTTTTTTCGTTTGTTTTTGTTTTCAGTTGCCACTCGCACAAAGTCCACAAAATGCGCTTTGCGGTTCGCATTGTTGTTGTTGCTGCTGTGTTCTCTCACTCTCTCTCTCTCTCTTTTTCACTCTTGCTTTCTTAAGGCAAACATTGTTGCGCTCGCTTCTCATTTCGAATTCATTTTAATAAACGCGCACGAATTTTTGCGCTGGCTTTTGCGGCTGGCTTTCAGCTTTCAGCTTTTCGCTTGCCGCTATTTGTTTTGCATGCAAATGTTGTACCAGCCGCAACATCATTTGCTGCTAATGAAGACGTCGGGCAAGGGAAGCGCGTGTCTGTGCCAGTTGAGAGCATTGCCAGCTCTCATTATGCATCCTTGACGCTGTCTGACTTGTTTTGCGTGAGACGCGCGCGCATAAATTGAGATTTGAAATGCAATGGCAGCTGCTGTGGCATTGGGCTAAAAGGTGGCCCATCTCATTATGCACAAGCCAAACAAAGCCAAGCAGCCGCCAGGCGAGCTTATTATTGTTTCAGTCACAAAGGAATTAAACAGCCGCCAAGCTCATCAACTCGGCCCAACTGGCAAATCGTCAGTCAAAGCTCGCATCCGCTGGCTGTGTATTATCCCGTTGCCTCATTTTTCTTTTGTATACAAAAACATGATGGAACGGCTATCTTAGGCACGCCGAAAATTAAATACCCTTGTTGACACATGGCTGGCGGCTTTCAAGATGTGTGAAAAATGTTCGAATGATTCTTCCTAAATAGCTGCACGATATGGTATTCAGGATCAGGATATCTTCCTTGTTCCTACAAGAACTTCTTTTATTACCAACTGTTCCTATCGCGGCTACATGTCATAGTACCCTAAGTAAGGGTATGAGGGGTAAAATTCTAAATTTAGAATACAGTCAGAATGGCTGGCACAGAGCCAATCCAAAGAAAAACATTTGCCAACATCATTTGTTAACTTCCTTCGCGGAGAAGGCGGGGAGCTGTCAAAAATGCATGAGACGACAAATAGTCAAACAATTAAAAGCCGATACGACAACTCGTCACGACTCGGATCGAATTGCCAGACAAATCGTGCAAACAATTGCCGAGCTCCACTTTGGGGCAGCTTGGCAGCGAAAGGGCCCAGTATCTGCCTTTCTCCTAAAAAAAATAAGGCACACAAAAAGCGAAATCCATTTTATTGATTGCGCAAATTCATTCAACTGTCAAACAAATTGCCGAATATGAAGGCAGCACAAAAACAAGTAAGAGTGCCCGACTGGGAGATACCCTGGCCTCAGCGCCAAGATAGGTTCCGTCTTCGCCCTTTATGCAGCGGTTGTGCCTCTTCTTCACACGAAGTTTGGAGCTCTAATAATTTTCAAGCTATGCTCGAACACCTCAAATCATATCTCAAATTCGATAATTTATCGATATTTATCGAAATCATATACTCGACCTGCGTATGGTTTGGGAGAATATTCATTTCAAATTTATGTTTTCTAACCTGATCATGGGCTTGGAATGCCTGTCACAAACATTTGCTAAAGAGTATGATACCCTTTTTGCCATTTCAACAGGGTATGAGAAACGGTCAGAAACATGAGACAGAAGCTGAGCATGGAAAAGGTGCACAAAAAATTGGCCTGAAAATGAACCCGCGTGGCATTAAAGTTAATTCAAGCCAAACCGAATTTAAAATTGAAATATTTTAATATTTATGAAATCGTTTAAAGTGCGGCAAAGTGAATATTAAAAAAATGTTTAATGCTTAATTAAATTATTTGAGCTTTTAACGAATAATTTGGTCTTTGAACTCATTTGGCGTGGGCTCAATTTAAACGTTCGAAATATCTGTGTGGCGGATCTTTGAATGAAGAATTTAATTTGTTTTTTCTAAATTAACATTTTTAATTGAGTTTCTGTCGCTTCTTCAGCCTCTTCTTCTGCTGACTTGGCAATATAAACCAGTCAACTAAAATTAGAAAATTATTTTGAGGAAAAACAGCAAATGCTGCTGATGCCGAGACTAAAATCACTTGAGAACCTTTTTTATTTAAAATAAGCGAAAAAATTAATTATTACAAAGAAATGCACAACAACTCAAAGGCGGAAGGACAATAAAAGGCAAAAGGCCGAAAACGGGCCGAGGAGGCGAACCAGAATAAACGAGACACAAAAAAATGTAAACAGAAGAGGCAAAAAAAAATAAAAACTAAATAAGTGCGAGTTGAACATTTGCCTTGGCTTTTGATGCGGTCAAGCGAGAGGGGACGTCAAGGGGGGGAGGGGGGGAGGGAGGGTTGCCAGGACTGGCAAATGCTCGAGGATAATACGCTCGTCCGTTCCTCTTCTCTTCTCCGCCCTTTCTCTGTGGCATAACTGTTTGCAGCTGTTGTTGGCCTTTTGTCAGCCATAGAAACCTGAACTTGCGGCATTTACTTGAATCCTGGCCAGCGAAGGGCTCACACAGGAGTACTTCCCAAAGAGCTGAAGAGCTCCTTAAAAACATCCTCTCTGCGTGCGTGTGTGTGTGTGTGTGTGTGTGTGCATATTGTGTGGCAATGGAGTTTCAAGTTTCAATTGCAACATTATAAAAGTAAGCTAGAATGTTATACCCTGTGTGAGTATATTTAAGAGAGGGTATATTGCAGTTGTGCAAATGCACCTAACAGGCAGAGAAAGAATCCTATAAAGTATGTAAGTTTCAGCCTTTCCCTGCAGAGTGAATGCTCTTTGAAAGGTCGCTGGTTCGAAGCACAAAGAGTGAAACCATTTTCTACAATCACAGAAAAACTATTAGTCCTTGTTCCAGAGTTACGTTTGACAGGGTATCCCCTAGTTTGTTTTCGGCTTGTTAGCCCTCGTTGTCAAACTGTGCTTGAAGAGGCTCAAGTTTTTTCTTTTGGAGCGTTCGCATCGACTGTTTCTTTTGCTAATTTGTGCTTTTTGATTTATTAAATGTCCTTGTGCCTAATTTGTGCTTTAGGCCAGTTTTCAATTAGGTTTGCCCGCCCACTTACCCGTCGCTCTGCTCGCCCATGCGGCTGCTGGCCAAAGAGTTGCGCGTGCTCTCGCGCTCCAGACCGAGCGTTGTGCTGGACAGCGCCAACATGGTGTTGCCCTGCCTGCTCTTCGGCGATGCCGGCTGCAGGTAGCTGCCTCCATGTGAATGCTGCAACTGCAACTGCTGCTGATGCTGCTGCTGTTGGGTGGCATAGCGCTGGGGGCTGCCGGAGAAGGGCAGATGATTTGAGATTGAGAATTCGGATTTTGTGGGTGAGCCCGTTGTTGAGGACGATGCCACGGACTCCAGGCCACGGGACAGCTTCAACATCTCGGCCCCAAACTGATGCAGCGCCGTCATCGTGGTGGGCGTTGGCTCCGGTATGCTGAAGGTTGAACGTAAAAATTGAATACCTGCGGGAGACATTTGGCTGAGGCTCTGCTCACCTGGAGTCGGGCAGCCAGAGCTCATGATTGTCGAGCGTGCTGAGATCCGTGTCCGTTGAGTTTGCCGAGTGCGCGTGCAGCGCCGAGGAGGAGGCGTTGCTCTGCCCCGGTTTCAATAGTCGCCGCCAAGTGCAGCGACGTTCTGTAATAAAATATAAAATCAAAACCATTAAATTGCAGTCAAGCATATGGAAGGGCGAACAAAAAATCACATGCCCTCAATAAGCCAGCTTAATGCGCTTATAAATTCGCACGTGCACACACACACACACACACACACACACACACACACACACTCACACACATAGAAAGCGAGAAGGAAAAGTCCTGCTACGTGCCTGCGCCAATTTCAGTTGCCTTACAGCAGATTTAGCTTAAAATAACTGCACAAAAAATAACACACTCGTCCCCAGCACTGTGGGCATTTCATGCAGATTTACTGATAAATATTCACCCTTTTTAAAAAAACTAACATAAGTCAGCTAACATAGCAAGCAGCTGTTAAGCTAACAGCTGCTCAGCAACAGCATTTTTTAACATATTTTTAACATTTGCATTGGGTGTATTTTTGACAAATGAAATATTAATTTTAAATTATTATTTTTCAATAAAAAAACTTTTTAAATTATAATATTAGCTACGCTTAATTTTTTATATGGCTCATCTGTAATTGGTGCTACAGACAGGAAATTGTGCTGAATCAGAAAATTATTTGCTTTGTAGTATGAAATTATCTGCATATTTAGAATATGCTATTTTCTGTTTGTATACCAAGAATCAAGAACTTATCTTATACAATGTTGTTCTAAAATATTTGTATACCCTGAACCCATTAAAAATGGGTAAAAGGGGTATACTGAATTGTATTTAACAGGCTGACGGACGCATCTCCGACCACATAAAGTATATATATTCTTGATCAGCATCAACAGACGAGTCGATCTAACCATGTCCGTCTATCTGTCCGTCTGTCCGTCCGTCCGTCCGCAAGGATCTCAGAACCTACAAGAACTTGATACTTGAAATTTGAAACCTAGGTTCTCCTGTGTGCCTGCGCAGTAAGAGTTTTTTTCCGAATAATCGATAACTTGCCCCGCTCCCAAGTAATCGATAAAAATCGATATCGAAATCATCTTTTTGAGCAAATCGCTTAGGTTTTTAGAGCTAGAGTCACCAAACCTGACATGTAGCTTCTAGTTAATATATGAAAACTGTTTTAGAAACAAAAGATAATTTACTAAAGGTTTACATTTGTTCCATAGTGCACACACACGCACACAAGCACACACACAGCTGCATCAGCACTCAGGCAACGTCGCAATGCGCTCGACTTGCGCTTTGTACTGTCGATTAGCTATCAAATGCCCTACGCCACAGTCGCACACGGAACTCCACTGCAATGCAGCCACTGCTGAGAGCCAATTAAATATGCTTAGTTTTTGATTTTCATTTTATTGATTATTGTTATTGCTTCCGAGTGCAACTCAGTTCTTATTGTGGCGTTTAAGCCGAACGCTAAGAGGGTGCAAATTATGTGCTCGAACTCCTGCGGGGCTCGCTTGGATGACGTCAAGTACAGGGGCAACCAAAATGAATGGCTTAAGTTGTGAGAGAGAACTGTTTTGTAGTGTCCCACTTTATTTACAGCTTTATTTCAGCATTGCTTCTTTCTCTATAACGGGAATAGGCGAGAAATTCCTGGTAGGCAGATATTGTTCATAATCTGCTGGGTAACAATTCCTATATCTGTATTGGGATTGGTTCCGCTCGAAACACGCTCCCGACTCTGCAATCAATTTCAGTTTGCAATTTCAAATTATTCAGCATTTGGTAAGCGATATTTACTCAAGCCTCACATTGCAACATTGCAGGACATTGAAGTTGATGCTCCTCTAGGCGGGCAGCAGCACTGAAATTAGCTATCAACACACACACACACACACACACACACACACAGGCACACATACATGCACACAAACCCAAACTCAATTCCTGTCGATGGTTGTCTGTGTGCATTGCTGTGGCCTAGACGCCTTTGCATATCCTGGCCTGGCATCCTGGCAGCTCGCACGCCTTCGCATTGCTGCTGTCCTCCCCCATTTCCCCGTTGCCATTTTGTGTTAACTTTAACGGACAGTCGACAGTGCAACAGAAATTTCTAATATGATGTTTTGGCAGCCTGCAAATCACATTAAATGTCGACAACTGTCTGCCGATGGGCATGGCAAGTGTCATAAATATGCATGGGCAAATACACAGAGCGAAAAGCGTAGCTCGAGGCTTGAGTATTCAATTAAGTACAAAGCATTCTTGACTTAATCACAAAATAGGTGAATTTGCATAATTTAACTATGCTGCTGCTTTATTAATTTCGAGAAATCCCCTTAAAACATGGCTGGAAACTAGTGCTGGAAAACAATTGATGGGTCTATCGATTATATCGATGTATTTGGTGTTTTGAGAACTATCGATGATTTTTTTTTTGGAACCATCGTTGTTTTTGACTCAAACATTTTTTGAGCAACAGAAAGCGACAAGTTTACAAATTTAAAATGGAATAATTTTTATTTTGACCTTTTCTTGGAAAATGAGATATCTCAGAAATTCCAATCATCACGGTCCGATGCTATTATTATTTTAAGACAATGTTTTGAAAAATCAAACGAGCCGATATGACCGAAATCCATTTATATATTGGATGGTAATAAAGTTCAGTTATTGTTAACACAAGCTACATGCTTATAAGCCAATAATGTGATGGTTTTTTTTTTCAAGTAAATAGCGAGAGCTTACAACGACGATGTGCACCGAATTAAAGCTGGTGAAATAAATTCAGATCGCAAAAACTTAAACGAATTTTAATCTAAGCCTGATCTCACATGATTTGTTTTGGAAAAGTTATTTATGTTTAGAGAAAATAATAAATTTGTTTCTTGTTAATATAACTAATGTCTTCTAATTATATCCTTTTTGAAAACATCGATACTATCGAGAAAATCGATGGCTTTAGATATCGATGTTTTCCAGCTCTATCAGATGCCTTAATCCCAAAATACAGATACACACTATGTATGGGACAAACATTCTTGAATAGCTTCGGTGTTTACAGTCCGATCTTCATGATAAGGCGTAGAAAAGTGTATATATGCCAAGGGGCAAGGCTCTAACTTTGCTAACTAGAAGTTCTTTCAAATTTGGGGGGGAATGGAGGTATATCCTGAGGGATCTTATGATCATCGAGTTATGATTAAAAAACCAAGTCTGAATATCTCTGACTGTCTTGGATGTGGGACATACATATGTACTTACCCAAAGCGGGCGCCTGGCCCAGCCAGCCGCTTGCCCAGCCGGGCGTGGCCGCTGACGTCGGCTGGCCACCGCCCAAATTCTGGCGCTGTCTGGCCAAGAGGCGCACAGTCAGACAATAGGTGAGCAGCATCACACCCAGCGGTATGTAAAAGCAGACAATGGAGCCGACCAGCTTGTATACCGGATCGGGTATCTGGCAGGTGCCATTCACCAGCACCGAGGCGTGATCCTGGCAAGAAGAACAGCTCGTTAGACAAACCAATAAGAAACTAAAAGGCCAGAGGCTCACCTTGGAGTACATAAGGCTGAGCGGCAGGCTCATGGCAATGCTCAGCAGCCAGACAAAGACAATCTTGAGGGTGACGCGGCGCCTGGTCTTGTTGCGGCCAAAGCGCATCGGATAGCGCAGCGACAGATAGCGATCCACGGATATGGTGCACAGGTGCATAATGCTGGCCGTGCAGAACAGAACATCCAGGCATATCCAGGTCAGGCAGTGCTCCGAGCTAAGCGGAAAGTGGCCTGCAAAAAGAAAGAGAGAGAGAGACAGAAAGAGAACGAAAGAGAGAGTGAATGAGAAAAGGATAAATAAGTTTCGCTTTGACTTTTATTAAGTGGACTTTGCTTGTAAATAACAATAAAAGAAGAGGGCAATAGTCGAGAGTGAACGACTAGGACATACCCTACGCAGGACATACCCCATACAGCTATAAAAAATGTATATTTAAATAAGTATTCCATTTTTCGTTGGATTGTTGAAAGTTTGCCAGTTTAATCAAGATCCTTGAACATACTGGAAATGAATAAAGCTGCCTGAGAATCCTGTTGAGGCATTCCCAATATTTACAGGGCATAAAAGGGGACCAAGTGAATGCAATATTTTCCAACTAGCCACCAAAATAGGCGGCCAACTGTCGCTTGGCCATTTGATTTGATTTCTTTTTGTGCTCCCCTCTCTTTGCCTTCGGCCTTATGGCCACGGCTGCTGCTAGTCCTCCCCGGTGGCTTATGCAACATATTTGTGGCAGCTCCTTCATATGAGCGTCCTCCGGGCCGGCGACCCGCCCCCCCCTCCCCCCCTTTCGACAGTCGTTTTGCGCAGCTGTTGGACGTCATAACTCAGCGAGATGCTCTTAAAGCCAAGTATGGCCGGCTGTAATGTGTTGTACAGTTGTGTTGTGCCAGGCAAGGGGTGTGTGTGTGTGTGTGTGTGTGCACTGCACTGAGTTATTCCAGTGTGTGTGTGTGTGTATTTTGTAAGATTTGTGTGCAGGATTTGTGGCTGGAATTTGACTGGGCATGAATATTGTATTGCTGCTGATATGGGATTACGCTGGGACCTGCATGCCTTTGAAATATATGACTTGAGGCAAGAAATGTGAGTACATTTTAAGGCATTCAGACAGGTGATTTACTACGTTAAACTAGCTTGGTTGCAAGTAAAAATATAATTGGAATACCAAGCTTCATCTTAAGCGGTTGACAAATAACTCTTCAGCCTGCATTCCGATTGTTTTCTGCAAGTTTCTCCTATTGAAAGCCTGAAGTGCTTACAGCAGTGTTTAGGCTTGATTGAGCCGAGTTTATTTAAGTAAATTAAAGGCTAGCATGCTTTTATCCTTCAGACAATGCCCGGCACTTTACACCTAAACGTAACTAACACATATATCAAGAGCACGACTTTCACCTGGTGTTCGATAGCAAATTGCTCGGGTAACATGACAAACTGCCTGCCAATCAACTGTTGCTGGCTGACGACATTCATAATTCCAGTTGCTGGGGCCATCAGCATTTGTCAAGCCCTCCAATTGCAAACCATTTTGACCCGCGCTCCTCTCGTGTAGGTGTTACAAATACAAATGATACGGTCATTGCGTCAGGGCAAGCCGAACGATTTATGTCCGGGCCTAAAGTGTCAATTAAATCGATTTGGGACGCCCTTTAAGCCGGTACGTGGGCTGGCACGTAAAAGCATTGAAAACAAATTTGCTAAAGCGCCAAGCAAAAGGGAAGCAGCTTGAATTAAATATATATTTAGTGGCTGGGGCTACGACGAAAGGTAAAAGACTTATAACGGATACGCATGCTACCAAAGTTTCGTTTCCCTCCATTCCTGTTCCTGTTGCGGAGCCGAACAAGTTAATGTGCTCTAGTCTCGAGTGCCCGACTGGGAGATACCCTACATCTCAAGCTTGTAAATATAATTGCGTCTGTGCCTTGTCTTTCTATATTCGCCTTATGTGCACCTAGAAGCTTCTCTCTGCCTGGGCTATTATACCTTCCTTACCCATTTGTAGGGTATACAACAATACAAAAGGGTCAAACTGCATGCCTGAGGTCTGAGGTCTGCCAGCGACTTGGGGGTTAGGCTACGCTTTTATTTGTGTTTCGATCTCTTTTATTTTGTTTCTCCGACTGCCCTCCTCCCTTCCTCTCGTGCGGCTCGGAGTTGTGTTGTGTTTTGTTCATTCACAAAAAAACATTTCAACTTACAAATGCGAAACAAATTTCAAACAAAAGCGCAAAGTTCTCAGCTCGAAATAAATTTTTAGCTGATTTCTTTTGTGTGTTTTATTTTGTTTTGCATACTCTTTGGGGTCGGGGACCGGGCCCGGGCCCGGGCCGGGGCCGGGGCCGGGGGCCATAAAAACTAAACTGAAACACAAATAGGAGCTAAAAGCTGGGCGTTGAAACTTGGCAACCGAAATGACTTTGTAAATGCGTTGAAACTTATTTAATTTGCTGCAAGTTTTAGTGGGTCAAATGGAGGGCGGCCAGTCCTAATAATGACTTTTATATTTATCAAATCAACTAACAGACCGGCGCGCCAAGATTCAAGTCATGCCGGAAATACGATGAAAATCTGGCTGCTTAGCTTCTATACCCTGTAGGCATTCAAATGCATTAAAAATGGGTATATTGCAACTATAGTTGTTATGCAAAAGCCAGGCGAGCCATCTGTGATGTCATCTATGATTGGGAAGACGAGCTGTAGGCGCTAAAAACTGGACTTCAAGCTGTTGTTAATCTTAAACAGGGTATGCAAAACGGCCTTCTTTTACAAAATCGATATATATCGATTTGTTGTTTGCACTTTTTGAACATATCTCGAGGCATATTCCTCGCCAAAGTCATCAAATTTGTCACGCAGCCTTGAAGCATCAAGAATATTTTACTTCCCAGATACCTTTTCTATGCAACCGAAACATAGCCTTGATATTCGGTACATAGTACACATTTGAATACCATCTGCTAGTCTCGATAACTAGATAACATTCGTGCGATAAGCTAACAAGTTTTTAGAGAATAAAGTTTTAGTGCATGCATTTTTAGTATAGCGTATTTCTCAGTCGACGAGACTTCAGATTCTCTTTCATTTTGGCTGCTTATGACAACATAAGCTGTTGTATGACAACAAAAGCAAAAACAACAGAAACAACAACAACAACCACAAATATTTGAACACTTTTCTGCGTTGGCAAACAATGCGCGTGCAGCGCTCCAAGCGGCGAGAGGACGCAACAACGAAGCCTGCTGTTGCTGTGGAAATATGCCAAAAATGATTTATGAGTGTTGTTGTTGTTGTTGTTGTTGTTGCTAGGCATCGATTTCAATTTGAGTTCGAATTTCGTTTATTCGCTCTTGTGGAGCATCAACAATTAGACACATTTGGGCCAACTGTTTGCGCTTGGCTAAAAGGGTTCTCCTCTGTGAATTTGTTTAGCCAAACTATTTGGCATATTATTTATAATACTGTTTACCTGTTTGCAGCTCTTGAATTTCTGATTGAAATCTAACTGCGACACGGTTCAATGGGCATAAAATTAAATGCGCAAATCGTAAATCGCAAACCCAATCAGCGGGGCCAAAAATAAAATATAAAAAAAGCGACAACAACAAGAATAAACAACTTGTAGAACTCAACATCTCAATGGTTTGTGTCAATAAAAAAAGCTGACAAATAAATTTACATTGCGAACATAACAAAATTGCAAAATAAAAATGCGTATATAGAAATAAAAATCGTTGTGCGATATTCCACGAAAAATTCACAGCGATTATCAAATAAGCCGAATAAGTCGAATATTCTCCATTTTATTTGCGAAGCTTGTTGTTGTTGTTGTTGTTGCTGTCACGCACAGTCGCCGGTTCAATTGGCAACAATAACAATTTTCAATAACAAATCACAAAACACACAAAGAAAAAAAACACATTTCTTTGGCATATGACAGCTACTCAGGAGGTTCAGGACTCGAGCATGGGGCGGAGGGGCCTCATGTCGCGCGGCAAAGCTTAAACAGACAGCTGGCAGACAAAACGTTTGTCAGCTGCGAAATGTTAGACTGCGGGGCGGCAGAGTGCATGGCGCGTGGCAGCACACAAACACACACACACACACACACATACAGGGACACACATACATTGGCTAATAATCAATCATTTAAAGTGTTGCCTACGCTTTAAAGCGCGCCTCGCACATAAATGGCCTAACTGCTGTTTATCTCTCGCCCCCCCCCCCCCCTTTCTGTATACCCACCGCTTCCCTCTCTCGTGCTCACTCTCTCACTGTGTGTGTGTGTGTGTGTGTGGGTGTGTTAGGTTAAGTACCCGCGGCGCTTGTTGACATGTTGTCACCTCCGCTGTCAGCAAATGTATGAAATGGCAACGCAGCTACATTCATTTCCTTGGTTTGCATAAGGAAAAACCCCACTGGGTTTTCCGAATATGCGCATGCAGAATACCTTTTTTTCATACAGTTACATTTTATAGGTATATAATATTTTTTTCGTGACTTTCGGCGCATCTGCATGTAAATATCATTTTCATTTCGCGCGCCCCGTTGACATATTTGCATGCATATGCATACGCTTACACACGCACACACACGCACATAGACTCACACACACACACACGCACACACCCCACATATATATAACAGTTACATACATGTTATGCTATATGTATTCGTGTTTATGCGCTTGTAAATCTGACCCTCATGAGATGTATTTGGGTTTGCTTGGCGTTTCCTCTTTTTATTTTTAGACCTCGTGCCCATTCAACTGGAAAAAAACCGGGTATATTCAGTTGTGTAAATATGCTTATAACAGGCAGAAGGCATGCATATTGAAAGCTAGAGGCTTTTGAATACTATCCTCAAGAGCTTCAAAATTGTTAAAGGTACATTCCTGATTTTACAACCATTTGCCTGTCATCTTTTAGCCGTGAGAATATCATATGGGAAAGAAAAAGCACAGCTCTTGTCTATATGTACGCATAAAGTGTTGAATTTATTAGAAATTATGTATGTTGTGTAGCTGCGTAGAGGGCATCTCTTAGTCGGTCACACGCGCCTGTATCACTTACTTACATGTTTGATACTCGTATGGCTGGATATTGTGCAAAAAATGCTGTCAACTCAGAATCAGAATTCAAATGTTGTCGCAGCTGTTCCCACTAGTTGTAACTGATGTTTATTGTAGCAGTTGTTGTTGTTGTAGTAGGTGTGTGTGTGTTAGTATGTG